CTTAAGCCAGAGCAACTCACTCAAGGTTTATTTAGCTCTTTAATATGGAAAAGGACCTAAACAGTTCACACTCCTAAGACGATATCACAACTGTGTTCTTGAAGACCGTGCTCCTAGGGCAGGATCCTAAGTCTGTGCTTTTCCCCTACAGAACGTGGACTAACTGCTAGGGGCTTCCTAAAATGCAAGGTGTATAAAACATCACCCCAAATATTCATTCTACCTTTCTACCTAAAGGAATGGACATGGAAAGGACTTGTGTCTTATTGAATATGTGAAGGCCTGTACTAGAGGGTTTCATCTTGATTTTCTCATCTTAGCAAGGCATATAGTATTGTTATTTTACAGGTAATTACGAAACTTGAGTTCCAGGGAGGTTAAGTAACTGAGCCAGTGAAGGAACTGGTACTCAAACCTAGAACTCATTCTAAAGCCATGCTTCCTATACGTAGGAAGAGAAAACCATACATACAGACTTAAAAATTTAAGAATAAGCTAATAGACTGAATGTAATTTCCAAAGGCTGACTATATATTTGCGTGTATATACATATATCTAATTGTTTATACGTAACATTTTGGGAACGAGTGTGGTTTTCCTTTCCTTTTTATAATCCCCTAGGTTTATGGTTTTCAAGTGAAATACAACACAGATATGGAAGAGTGAGCAGATCATAAACGCATAGCTCAATGAATTTTCAAAAACTCAATACATCCAGGTCACCAGCATCCTGATTAAGAAACAGAGCAGTACCAATCCCTTTTGTGTCCTCATCTTAAGTTCCCTTTCTAAGGCAGCCTTTAGTATTCAGAATCTAAGCTGGATGTCTATCAGAAGTCACAGGGAAACAGTGTTCATTTTCCGACTCACAGACCAGAAAGAAAGGGATAGGGTATAAAGCTCAAGAGATTCATTTTAAAAAATTATCTTTATTTAGGTTTCTGATTCAGCACATGTATCAAAGACTAATTAACATAAAGAAGTAAATAAGACATTAATTGGAAGTCTTACATCTCTCTAAACTCTGACCAAGAATGTCAAGATTGCCACTATTACCAGAACTCCAACCTAGTCAAGTTGTAGACAAGCTATCATGAACGACGTACAGTGCGCACACATACACAGAGGCCAGAGACACGCTAGCACTTGGCTGTCCTCTCTTCCTTGTTGATGTCTTTCCATGGGACAGTCCACTTTTGCTGTCCATGCCTAGTTCCAAATAAAGTCCAAAGAAGGCTCAGGGTCAACCTGATCCAACACTGTGCTGGAGGAATGCATTCTCAAACTGTTGTGCCTGCAACTTTGTTTTTGCCAGGATGAAGTTCAGATCGAGATGTACAATACAATCTAGATGACGGTGCAGACTAAGTGAAGAACTAAAGTTGAGCAGTAACCCGAGTTAAGGCATGAATGCACACACAAGTGCACACACACAGCACCCACGCTATCATGGACATAGGATTCCTTCCATTGCCTATAGCGAGAGGCAACCAGGGCTCGGCAGTTAACCACAACTGCTGAGTGTACTGAAGCATGCCCCCCATAATTTTATGCTAACAGCTGTGTGTGTATGTTTTATCAAAAAAAAAAAAAAAAAAAAAAAAAAAAAAAAAAAAAAAAAAAAACACCAAAAAAAAAAAAAAAA